TTCGATTTTTCGAAACTCAACAATCGATTACACATGTAGCTAGAGTAGGTGAATATAGTAAAACATCCTGGTGGAAATAGAAAAGCCTCTTCATCAATTGGTTAGTGATCCCCACTGCTAAGCTAAAGGGTAGGTTCGAAACCCACCTAGGACAAATGTGTGATGAGCACGACTATGTATGTTTATCAACCTGGGCCTCAATTCTGCTATTTTATGTACACGCCAAGACACTGTCATACCACTGACACGCTATTGAGATGCCATCGAGTGGCCATTGGCATCGGTAAATCATTTCCTCAAAAAAACGTAATATATTTTCTAATTATAAGGAATGATTTATTTATTTTTCCAAATATGGCAATCTTTTTGATATCACCACTGATGAGCCACTGCCATTCCATGTAAAGACTCTTGAGTTAATGTAGACTACCGATATTTATACCGATGCCAATGGCCACTCGATGGCATCTCAGATGCCATCGAGTGGCCATAGCGTGTCAGTGGTATGACAGTGGCTTGGCGTGAACATAAAATAGCAGCATTGAGGCCCTGGTTACTAAGTTTAGGCTCTGCCTAATTTGTTTGAGATACCCACAACTGAAAGCCCCTTATAAGATTTTTATAGATATAATCAGAACTGCAAATTCAGTTAATTACAGGTGCAGCCCCGTCACCAGTCGTCGAAGGCTAAACATCTCTAATTATGACACCAACAGTAGTTGAAATAGAGAAATCAACTAAATATGCGCTAAGAGAACACGAAACTCGTCCTTGTCTCGTCGACCACGGCGGTAGCTAACAATTACCGCAATCGTATAACATGAGCACGTGATAATCGATTGTTATCAGTATATTCGTACCTGACGACTGACCTTAATGTAATTATTACATTTATCTATACTTGTTCTATTTATAAAGACTGTACACTTAATTACATTAATATATCTATGAAATTTAGGTAAACAGGCATAGAAATTGTATGCTGTGTATTCTACAACACATTGGTATATTATTTATGAATTATGACTCAGCAACCAGTAGATAAATGTCAATTTTTCTTTATGCCATAAACTTTATTTTTATCTAATAACATTTATTCCGTACGTTAGTTACGTATATTAGGCAATAATTTATTTAGAGTACTTATATGTATACTATCTTTTGCCCGCGTATCCGCCCGCGTGTATGTCTGTTATCGCGGTAAAAAGTAGCTTATGTTACTCGCTGATTATTTACCTTTCGATTGGTAAAGAAATTTTTAAAATCGGTTTAGTGGTTTAGGCGTGAAAGCGTATCAAACAAACAAACTCACTTTCACATTTACGATATAAAGTATTAACTTCTTTTTTCTTCGATTCACACCCAGGACGAATATTGAGATGTGTGAGGTTAATGTTTGAATAATTATTAACCATTTTATGTTCTAAATTTAATCCTAAAATTCAAAACGAATTGAATAAAATGCTCGACTTATTTACGATTCATTTCGGCTACCTGCAGCCACCACGTTACATCATTACCTTAAAGAACAAACATGAATAAATAAACTAAATTATATACCTAGTAAGTACAAGAGTGGCACGCGATCTAAATGTGCATTGTGTTAAACAAACCAAGGTTGTAAATCAATCAAGCAGTCGCCCCACGGCTGAAATCGTGAAAAAAAAGTTGAGCCTTCACGGTACACCGCCCTTCCTACATACACCCCTACCACGGTTACTACATTCTCGAAAACACTGAGCTCTTGTACGCATTGAAGTGGTTGCGAAATTAATTATTAGTGTTTAGCACATCTGACGTTAATTGTACTTTCTATTTGTAAACAATGTGCATTCCAATATATACTCGTAGTCTGGTTGGAGACGCTACATACTGTAGTGTCTGGCAGATAACTATCACATTAATAATATTAAACGTACTTAAGCGTGGGAGAACAATGCTTTAGAACATATCAGCCGGTTCGACCGGAGGGGGAAAACGGCCTCACAGAAGACCAGTGATTCTTTCTTGCCTTTCATCCAGCCCCGGATCTACGATTTTTTCGAACCAGGGTAGAAACTTAATAATAGCGCCTTTCAGATAAATAACTTAAAAAGAGTCACATAAAATATATAATGGTTGTCATTTTTCGTGATTAATTGGTTATAAGATCCCTTTAAGAAATTTGCACTTTTTGATATCTATTACCCAATAACTTTTTCAACATGCGCTGCATGCTTGGTAAGCTTTATTGAGGAGTTTTTATTTTTATTTTAAACCGTATTATATTCTGAAACTGCCGATAGGGGCGGGTGCACCGGTTTGCTCCCCTTCCTAGATCTGGGGCGGCTTTCATCGAGTGAGGTTACCAGAAGCCCTAGCTCCGGCCCCTAACTCGCGGGAGAGGAGGGGCAGTCAAAGGTTGAGTTACAGGTATCCATGATCCGTGACTCGTTAGGCCCTATACACACACACACAGACTGGTCAAGAGTGTCACTGCTGTGCATTTAAACACCATAATCTTGTCAATAATCCTTACTGGTGGTAAGCAGTTACCGGCCTTATTTATACTGGCATCACCAGTCTTGTTGGTGGTTGTTGAAAGTTGCTGAGCATATCATTTTCTACCATGGAGCCAGGCGATCCTACATAAAAGAAAAACTACCTCCTCGTAAAGTAAGGATAAAGGAAAGCCTTGTTACTACTCATTTTTTATTATATTTCTACAGAAGCTAGTAACAGTTCAAAGTCAATAAATTAATTTACCATTACTCAGAAACTATTTTTCCAGAATAAAAACAGCCCTATGTTCTTTTCTGTGTATGTAAAATTGAGTGATGATCAGTTTTGTCGTAAACGTGTAACAAATAAACAAACAAAGTAACTAACTTTCGCATTTGTTAGGATTAATAAGAATTATTATCTTTTTTTTTTACGAAATTTACTTAATCCGTTAAATGTTATCGCCGCTTTGATAGTAAGAATTATTGCTTTAATTTAGCTGTAATGAACAGTCATTTGTGGATTTTTTCTTGTGGATCTATTAAGTTTCCCTCATTACTCTACATAAGAACAAACAATAACGACCTTCTCTTCATAAGGACACATAAACCCATAATAATAAAACATGCACGCACACTCCACGTGAACACAAAAGAATTAGATCCCAATCAGAACTAATCGCTACCAACACTTGAAGAAATATACTACGACTAATAAATTATATTGGTTTGATAAAAACCAAATAATTGTATCGCTTATGGAACATACAACGATAATTTTTTATTGACGTCACCATATTCAGAGAGGCAGGATTTAAAATTACATGTAAAGAAAATAATAAATTTTCAGTGAAGTTTTTATTTTTATGACGAGACTAAATGGGAATTAGATCACCGTGAACATTTTTGTGCTAAATACAATGACTCAGATACTGCACTTTGTGTGTTGTTAGTCATACGTATGCTGATATATCCATTGATGGCAGGGATCAGGTGCTGGGTGGGAATGACGCGGGAGGAGGTCGCCAACGCGATGTCGTAGGCAGTATATCATAAAACACCTTATTTGAAAAACAAAATGTCTACATCGTTCGATCGTTCTTTTTCCAAAGGTGATATTTCGTTAAACAAATGAAATAAGTCTCTTAAGTGTGCTTTATTTATAATTATTGATTTTTTCATAACATGCCCGCAGACGGGTCGCCTTGTGCTAATTGAAAAGTGCTGGACAATGACAATTGCAACTCACTCTGCAGGTCACAAATGCTTTACCGAACCTTGAAGTGGGAGACAGTGGGAGTCCACTCTTTTCTTGAAGATTTAAAGGTAGTATTGGGCCACAGGCGACAGTTTCTTTCACAGACTGGTTCTGTAAGGTATTTTGGTTCTGTAAGGTATATGCATATAGGACGGTTAGCACTGAGGCTTTGCCGATGTTGGCGGGTGTGCTTCTGGTCGATCTCGAGGTGCAGAGACGTGCAGCCATGTACTATTCAAGACAACAAAACATGGAATGCGATTTTTTGGGCGCGCGGGATCGCGGTAAAATTACAAGATTGCTTCAACAGCAGCCCGATGTTTATAATGACCTCATAGACGAATGGCAACAACGCTGGGATGAATCATCCAAGGGGCGCCATCTTTACCAATACTTTCCATCTGTTCGCGAACTGTTGTCGAGGATATGGCTTGAGGTGGATCACTGTATCGCTCAATTTCTTACGGGTCATGGTAACTTTAAGAGCAAGCTTTATTCATTTAAATTAGTCGAGTCACCATTGTGTCAATGCTCAACACCTAACTCTCACTATGAACAGTCTGCTCATCATATCCTCTGGGAATGTAGTCTTTGGTATAATGAACGTAATATAATGCTGAATAGCTTGCAGGTGACATCTGGGGCGGTATACTATGGGGATCTTGTGTCAACTAGGGTGAATTTCCGTGCGTTTAGGCGATTCTGCCATACATATTATAGAAATCAAACATAGCTCACGTAGGACCCGTAATATTTGTGGCCGTGGTGCTTCCCTGTTTAAAAGGGTGTATGCCCATTTTACTTCATTTTGTCTCCCGCTTTGCTAAGGAGGGAAGTGGATTTACTGTATTTCCAACTCCTCCAATTTTCTTCTGATTAATTTCGTTGCGGGTTCCAAGACAGTTTAATTTCTTCCTGGGACTTCCCGAGTGTCATAACTCGGTGTGTTCGTGGGTCACTGCTGTGGATCCTGGTGTACAGGAGTTACAGTGGTGGGCGTGTGGGTGGGATTAGTCCCATAAAAAAAAAAAAAAGGTATTTTGAAAGTGCACAGTAATGAAGTATTCATTATCCAAGTGAAGAGGATCAAAGTTCTATCCATATGATATTACAAAATTTGGATGATAGAATGAATAGAAATGTAATAAAACAAAACTATCAATTGATTAATGATCGTTAAATGATATTGGAATAAACGTAAGTAGATTATCGTTGTGTATGCAAGCTTCCATAGGGACAATGGTTAAATATACAGGTCAATTATGAACACGGCATCGCATCGGCAGTTGGTGACGGCACCCGGTATTGATCAACTTGACGACTTGTTTGTTAACGAGCGTCGCGCTTATTTGGCCCCAAGTTGTAAACAAGTTATTGTTATGGATATAACAACAGTGGAAAAGCTCAAGTACTGCGTGTTGGAATTGTCTATCAATCGATTACAGCAGCAGTTTATAAAGGCACGTCTGCACTATGCACAAGACTGAACCCGATCTAAGGGCAGGACAGATACTATAGACGTCACTGTAAGGCTGTTAGGTGTTATGTGAGTGATTGATATAAAAGTTTCGAGGATTCCGTGTGGTAACAGATTAAGAATACATAGTGTCACCACCCCTAGTCATCCCGTGGGTGTCGTAAGAGCCGACTAAGGGAACAAACTACGCAGGATAACAGCACTGAAAAGAGAAGTAAAACTTGAAACCAACCCGTCTGGCCAGCGTGGTATAGTAGGTCAAAACATCCTTTCTATGGAGAGGCCAATGTCCAGCAGTGGACTAGTAAAGGTTGTTGATGATGATGATGATATAAGGGTGTAGCGTTATCAAATTTAAGCCAGCCAGAGAAGAACAATATCTTTGTGACTTGTTAAACTAACTCTTGATAGTCAACTTATATTATCCAGCTTTGACCTAGTACTATTACATAAACATAACTGTAAGTAAAACGTAATTTGCGTGAGAGTTTGGTAGTTATCACGACAACGTGACTAATTTGTCTACTCTCATAATATCACGTCACGTCATCACTAAAATATAAGTTGCGTATTTGAAGAGCAATGCCTTTATTTATGATTACGAACAGAACAACGACGGAAAAGGACATAGACTCAAACCTTTTTCTCTAGAGAGTATTTTAGATTTTGTCGAGAAAATTTTGATATTCAAAAAGCAACCTAACCAACCATAAAATAGATAAATAGTTATAAATATGATAAATTCTTTCTTGAGACTTGAAAATTGTTTCTACACGACACAATATCTGTCATATGAAATAAAATGCTTTCGTTTGTGCACCACATGACAACGATTTAAGTAATTAGTATTCTGTTAATTATAGTTCCAATACAATTATAGTCAGAATAAGGGCCTTTTCAGATATACAAAAATTGGCGGACAAATATTTAATTTAACTATAAGGTATATAGGTAAAATTTAAGGTATATATATATATATATATATTATTACACTACATAAATTTAGAACTGAAAACAATTTAGAATCTGATAATATTTAAGACATTATCCAATTCCTAAGGCCTAACAGAATTAGTTATCAGTTGACAGTTCGGTTACCACCGTTTTTTACTCTTGGGGGTTTTAGGACAACAACAAAAAAAATAAGAAGTCGACTGGGGTCAGAAAAACGGAGAGGGCGTTAGGATACGGGCAACCGTAATAATTAACAAATATAATTAAAAAGTATTAATTAACCGTAATAATTTGAGGTAAATTTACAATGATCAAAAGAAGTTCCTAAGAATCTATGTTAATATTTTCAAACTGTGTTAGATGTCTGAAATATTAAATATCTATTAATATTTTATTAAATATTATTAAAAAAAAAACTATTTATTCAACTGTTAATATAAAGCCCAGGATGGCGCAACAAGCGATCAAAGACCACGTTCCGAATACATCGACCGTGCATAATCATTATTACTTCCCCGCTTTATGTAAATTGTACTAAACGAGTAAATTGATACATTGATTAAAGATTTATTGTGATTTTAAAGAAATTGTAGGTGCATTTAGTCACGTGTTTAGTATTTTAACAAGCCTTGTTTGGCATTTTTCATCTTTACGCGATGACACCATTTTTCCGAGAGAGAAGGAAACGGAAACGGCTAGTGTACGAAAGTAAGGGCGTGTTATGCGTTCAAAAATGTGGCAGGAATTTGTAGTTAAATACTATATTATAAATGCATGATTTAAAAATATTTATATTTCATAGATCTAATTATGGCGTAAACCGTTACCACATAATGTAAAACAAGCAAAGCAACCTTTAAGGGTCGCGTCGTCTCTCTGTATTTCTGCTAACTCCTAAGCGAAACTTTTCTCAATCATTCAAATATTTTTTTGTATATAAACCTGTAATATTGCAAATACAACTTACCCCTTTTTTTTCCGTGCGGAAATCCCCTCGGATACCTGTCGGTGGCATGTCGGACTCGAACCGACTAAAACCGCACGCCGTCTCGGGTACTAATAGCCGGGGAACCAGGTATACCCTAGAAAGGAAGTCCCTGGTGCCAAATACAACTTACCCTACTAAATTTATACCACTTAAGAAAACATGTACCTATATGCCGTTTTATTGCCGTTCAATCATGTAACAACAATTTAATTCAGTAACAAATAGCGATATTTATAAATATAAAAATATATTAAAAGCGTAAATATATCGTACATACAAAGGCAACTTAGCCAGTTACAACTGCCAAGCGTTTCAGCTTAAACTGGGTTAATCCACTCGACGCGCTAGTTGTGATTCATTAGGTTTCCTTCAGTGCACCTCTGAACATAATACTACTACTATTTTATATAAACTCGAATAGTTTAAATTTAATACATAATCATAACAGGCGGACACTATTCTTGTTAGGTAAATGGGTCTTATGCAGCCTTTTGTGTTCATACGCCGCGTAATGGTCAGACTACCCATAGAATAATTAATATTCGTATTAATTTAAAGATACAATATACATTTTAATCATGTCTTAGGGACGCCTGCCTGATTAGTTTCTGACTTGACGGAGGCTCTTAGTCAAGGAGTGAAGCGTCATGGGTAAACCGTATGTGTAAATGAATATATCTTTAAATACATATCCAGAAATATTAGATAGGCAGCCGGTAGCCCCTAAACAGAAACGCCAGGCTCAGGAGTAACCAAATATCTGATATAGGTAAGGTGACACACTCACACTGCAGTTACTTTCCCGTGGGAGAGCCATACATCGGCATTAATTGGCCAGATCTACTTATGCAATTCGTTCGTAGCTTTTCACCGAGTCAGCGAGGTTACCGGAGCTTCTAAACCCTGCTTCTGTTCTGTTTCTGTTCCTTTACTCTTAGATTTGTTAATTATTGGCCTGGTGGTTATCGATCCTGACAGCTAAGTCAGAGGTCATAGGTTCGATTCCCACCCAGAACAAATATTTGGATAATGAGCACGATCATCTGTTCTGTGTCTCGGTGTAATTTATTTATGGTATGTATGTATTTAGAAATATATAAATATGTTAATCAGCAGTCTGGTCACCATTGTACAGGCTCTGCCTAGTTTGGCACCAGACGGCCGTGTGTGAGATGTGTGAGGTTATTATAGGTTAGTATGTCTTATCGCCAGCGGCCAATATTCTAGCAGAAGAGGCAGCCGTTCATCGGCTCTCGGGCAAGGCCTGGTCCAGCAGGGTGGGCGTGTCTGCCGGTTGCCCTGCTGGCTCTTCGCTCTTCGGAGCATGGAGGAGGAAACCTCGGTAAAAAACCTGATGGCGGGGCCCTGTAGGGGCCACAGTTTCTCCGCTGATAGCGGTGGAGAAAGGAGGACGGGCTCGGCGTGTACTGACACTACCACCGAGCAGGCAGGGGGACGTAGTCTCCCTGTCAACCGTCGGCATATCGCAATCCCGAGAAGAGCGCTGTGGTTAAGTCTCGCGGCTCTGATCGGGGGCGAGGGTCTTGGCTTAACCGCCCGGACCGCGAGGAAGATAACCTCTCTAAAAAATTCCCCGAATCCCGTGTTCTGGTGCGTGGCCAGGGGATGCATGGCTGATGGGAAGTTCAGTCGCGAGCGCACTCCAAGCCGAGGTACCTGCGGACCCCTCGGTTGGGTTAAAAACTTACGCTTGCCCGGGTAATGGGGGATCTCTGCCCGGGTGGACCTTTATTTCTCCCCCACTCGTGGGATCAATTATGCAATCTTTAAATAAAAATACCAAGAAACGATCGGAAACAAACAAACAACAGACAAAGGCAAGCCTAACGGACAAGGAGACGAAGAGCAGGAACAGTGGAGTGGATGGGTCGTCCACTGAGGGTGAGGTGGCGTCGGGAACGCCCATCTCGATGGGGCTCCCAGAAGTCAGTCTGACTCTGATCTCTGGGAGCCGAAGAGCATCAGATCGGCTGCGTTCCGGATCCGCCGTCTCGTCGGATGGCGCTGACGCCATGGAGGCGGAGCGAAGCGACAGCCGGAAACGCGGACGCTCCAGGGACGAGGAAACGGATACGTCCCAAGAAATGATGCCACCAAAGGTGGCAAGCAGCCGCCGAGGGAGGCAACGTAAACCGGCCTCGGCCTCGGTCTCGACCCCGTCAGGCTCCGCGTTCTCAAACGCGGAGTCGTACAGGGACGTACGGGTGGACGGCGAGGCCGTAGCGGAGGAGGAGATCGCGGATCTCCTGCTCAAGGTTCGGGAGCCGGTGGGGGGAAATGCCCCCCAGGCTCCCGTGTCCGTGCAGGAGAGGGTGAAAGCGGCGGTGGCCGTCATTCACAAGGTGGCCACCAAGTCCGTGAACCTTGAGGGCTCGTTTGTGAGGGCCCTTAAGGACTCCTCCTCCGCTTTGTCGGAGGTCGTCGAGGGCCTAGTGGGCGACGTCTCGCGCCTACAGGTGGCCAACGAGAGGCTGACGGAGCGGGTGAACGAGCTGAGCGCTCAGTTCGCCCGCTTCCAGGCGAACCTCCCCGAGCGGGAAGCCCCGTCCGCGTCCCAGCCTGCCCCTACCACCAACTCAGGGGCATTTGACTCCCAACTGCGTGAAATCCTCATCGCAGTTGGGAATATGCTGGACGGACGCCTGGCTGGCTTGGAGGCGAGACTGCCCCCTGCGCCGGTTGTGCGCCCCCCGCTCGCGTCGGCACAGCGGCCTAAGGCCGCCGCTCCGACCGCGCTCCCCGTAGTGGGAGGTCGCGTCTCCTACGCGGCGGCGGCGTCTGCCCCGACTCCATCGGCTCCCCAAAGGCCGAGGAGGGGGGCCAAGGCACCGGCCCAGGCGCCGGCCAAGGCACCGTCCCAGGCGCCGGCCAAGGCGCAGGCCAAAGTGCCGGCCAAGACGGGGCCTAAAACGGCGCCGAGGAGCGGAGTGGCATTCCCTCCGCTCCCCACTCCGACACCCCTGCCGGGCCCTTCCGCACCTGCCCCCTCCAACGAGGGCTGGCAGGAGGCAAGGGGCTCCAAGAAGTCCCGAAGGCGGGCCAGAAGG